TATATATATATATATATATATATATATATATATATATATATATATATGTGTGTGTGTGTGTGTGTGTGTGTGTGTGTGTGTGTGTGTGTGTGTGTGTGTGTGTGTGTGTGTGTGTGTGTGTGTGTGTGTGTGTGTGTGTGTGTATATATATATACGTCTAATACGTGGTACTGCACGTTATTGAACATGTCAGCCCAATTAGAAAAACAGTACCTCAAGAAAACCCTTAATAAAATCCAGACAAATAAATCAAAATACTACCTAACCAAACATGTATACAAAATTTACGACTGTTTTGTCGGAGCCAACTACATATACGACAAAACAGACTGAAAGCACCCAACATTAACTGTACGGAAACCTACCTGTGCAAATAACCGCGCGCTGATAGGCTCCGTACGAACACACTCCATATGCAAATGATGTACATCCTCAGGAATCCCACACACTTTGCAATTCGGTGAGTTCACCCTCCGCATCAAATACAAAAATTTGTTTATTGGAACGTGTCCGGATCGAAGCCTATGCGCGCTGACAATTTGACCCCTGCTTAACTTAACATGGTCAAACCAAGGGACACGAGGATGTTCACTCTGCATGGTTTTGTACCAGATTCCTTTTTCCTGGGACTTCACATCGAAAAAATCCTTCTAACCGCCGCAAAGGCTAACCGGTCCGCTTCCTCACCCTTGATAAATAAAGCGTAAAAAAAAAAAGGTTGTGTACGTTACTTACCAGTCATGTCTAAACTGGTCATTACCCTGAAGAAAATCGGCCTTGCGTATTTAGGCAGGTCTTTCGCGATTGCTTTGTTCAATTTGTCCAGATCTAGAGAGCCGTCTGTGTCTATGATGCCACACATACCCGCACGACCTTCTACGTTCGGGATCTAAGTTTGAAAAAATAAATGTTAGATATTTTTAAGAAATCAAGGAGAAGTTTAAACCGCATCTTAAATTTCCATTCCATTACTATGGTACATACACTACTTACATTTTGGTTGATATAGGTACAAAGAATATATTGATTACTACGAATAGTAGATGTTATCATTTACCTATATATTACGACGCTCAGATCGTCAATTAAACTATTTTAAGTTCCTATTTCTAAAATACCTTCACTATTATAAAAAGAAATACCTATAAAACTATACCTCCACACCATAAACAACGGCGTCTCTCTGATCAGCGCATTTGGATATCGCTGACTCAACTTCGGTGGTACTGACATTTTCTCCTCTCCAGCGGAAGGTGTCACCAGTTCTGTCTTTAAAGTACAGGTAACCTAGGTCATCAGATATTATAATATCACCTGAAAATGATGGAAATATTTAATAATTTAATGTTTTGGGTTTTATAAGGCATTTCGGTTGGGTTATATCCGGAGTGTCATGTTATTTGTTAGTTCAGGACATAATTGTTTTGATTATTTTTTTTTAAGTCCGTTGTTACGATGAGAAATATTTATCCAAACTACCTGGATGTAATAAACTTTAGCATTTCATGAATGACGTTGAAATTGCGTAGCTTATATTTATCATTATGCAATGGACAAGTATGAAAGATAACATAATCAATTTCTTTAATTTACCTGAAATGAAAGCAGAATCTCCATGACTTAAGACGTTTCTGACTATTTTTTTCTCAGAAGCCTCTTTGTCAACATAACCGAGGAAGGCCCTTGATGGGTTATTGGGCTGTATCTTTCCGATGAACACTCCTGGCTCGTTTGGTTTTGCCAGCTAAAAGCAATCAATATTTAATAAAAGTTCATAAGAATATTGAATAATGCATGACTAATACATAGGCTTCCATGGCTGAGTACTTTTCATAGAAATGAAAACAAATCCAAAAATTGTGCATCAGTGACTCGCGGTCATGTTAGAAATTTGCCGAAGTTGCCCTTTAGTTGCTACGGTGTGAACGTGGTGTGAACGTGGTGTGAACACTCACTAATATAGTATACTATTGTGCCTACACTATAGGGCTGAGATTTATAAAACCAGTTTTGATTTCGTCTAAGCAAAAATGGCGAGCTGTGCCACTTTTTCATATTTACCAAACAAACTAAACTATAATGTAAACTCTAAGTTTAGATATCATCATGTGGACGATCTGCGATAAGCTGAGGACCGGGCAAAATGGCTCCATTTTGGGAGAGGTCTATGTTCAAGTGGACTGCGATAGACTGATGATGATACATCTCATATCGGCTTTCATTAGAAGTATGTTGCTACAATAATTGATTTCAAAGAAATTGGTGCTTACGTAATAAAATAAGTGTTAACGAAATGAAATTATAATAATGTTCTATTGTTTGAATGTTTATCAAATACGGTGTAAACTTTCCTGAGAAATATTGCCATTGTTATGTATACTTGTGAGCTACTGACGAAGTCAACTGATAAAAATTTAATACGTACCTACTACATCTACCTAAATCAATATGTATCTTAAAGAAGCGGTTTACGAAATATAAATGAGTGAAAGTTTAGAAATCGGTTCATCATATATTTCAAGAAAATCAAAACGAATTCACAAACAATTGTTTCTTCGATGTTAGAGATAGAGATGTATTTATTTCTAAGCTGACGTACCTCACATAGTCCGTGTTTATTTCTAACAGGTTCGCCAGTTACAGGATCTACTTTTATTATGGCAATGGGATATATCGCTGGTATAATTCTCGATATGAATCCTATGGATCCAGTCTTATTGTCCACATTCACTGTAATAAAAAAATGACGATTTTAAACACATGTAAGGGAGATGCCACACGGACGTTGCGTCGTCGCAACTGCTTTGTACTATCAAAACTACATGCCACACAAAACGTTGAAACAGCGCGCGTCGACGGAACAGCTGGTGTGGCACTCAGTCCGTTGAAATAATAGTACAACGCGATTGCAGTTGAAGACGCAATGCTGACGTAACCCCAGAGCGGCATCGCTCTAAATAAATATTTGTGGCGGTTAAACAGAGACTTTCAACAAATTTTTCAAAAAAAAAGTTACTCAGAGACACTTCAACAAATATTACACTTTAGTATTCCTTTGAAAAAGATTAAAATAAAAAATAAAAATAAGAAATCGTGGTTAACACCGGGTATTAAAGTATCATGTAAGCAAACAGAATACCCTATTATAAAAAAATATTACAAAAGATATGAAAAATTACTAAAAACCACTGTATTACAATCTAAAAAATTAAGTTATATACGGAAAATTGAAGATTCCGATAATAAAACTAAAGCTATGTGGTACATAGTAAGAGAAAAAACGAATAAAATTCTAAAGCCACCTAGAAAAAATATAAAATTAAAAGTCCTTAAAAATTTATTAGTAGATCCTATCTGTGTGTCGAACACATTCAATAACTACTTTGTATCAGTAGGAAGTATAAAAGATCTTAATACATGTAGCCAAAATTCTGCGTTAATCGGACGACCAGTAGTCATTCCGGTCCAGAATTCTGTGTTCATCTGGCCTGTAGAACCAATAGAAGTATACAAAATTATTCGTAATCTTAAGAACAAAATAAGCTTTGGTTTAGATGAAATGCCGCCAACACTAATAAAAAATTGTGCAAATGAACTGGTAAATCCACTTGTATTTTTAATTAATCAATCATTTTCCGAAGGCACGGTTCCAGCTTACTAAAAATATCTATTGTCAAGCCGAAATATAAACAGGGTGACCCTACGGATTTAAATAACTATCGACCTATAGCACTTCTTCCAACCTTTGCGAAAATATTTGAAACAGCAATGTCACAAAGGCTCTATTCTTTCTGTGAAAAATACAACATATTAGATGAGAGCCAGCATGGGTTTAGAAAAAATAGATCAACGACATTAGCTGTTTATAAATACATCCAGAGAATACTAGACATTGTAAATGATAAACAATATGCAATCGGTGTCCTCCTAGACATGAGTAAGGCATATGACAGGGTATCTCATAAAATATTGCTGCAAAAGCTTTATGGCATTGGTATAAGAGGGACGGCATATAAGTGGTTCAAATCATACCTTACAAATTGCTTTCAGTATGTGGAGGTAGAACACCACGACCTCACCTTTGGTGTCATATCTAGCGTGCGCTCGCAAAGGGTGGAAGTGACCCAATCTATGCCATAAGGAAGTGTGATCGGGTGTATATTATTCCTGCTATATATTAATGATTTACCCAAGGTCTTGAACATTTTATCACAAACACCTCAACTCACAAACATTTTATTTGCAGACGACTTGTCGGTGGTTTTTCCATGTTCAATAGAATCAGATGTAAGCGAACGCATAAATAATATTCTTAACGATATAAATAGCTGGCTTACGGATCACAACCTAGTTATAAATTACACAAAAACCAAAATAAAACAATTTAGACCACACCAGAAGACTCCGTTACATATAAATTTTCAAATCAACAATATTCCGATAGAAACAGTAAATAAGTTTAATTTGCTAGGGATAAATATCGACACAAATCTAAATTGGAAACAACACGTACAAAATATATCAAGCAAACTCAGTAGATTTACATATGCATTATTACAATTAAAGAAAACCACCGACACAAGTACAGCAAAAACAACCTACTATGCTTATGCTCATGCTTGGATGAGCTATGGTATCATCTTGTGGGGAAATAGCACAGATGCCTTGAAGTTATTCATTTTACAGAAAAAATGTATTAGAATACTAGTGAATATCGACCCGAAGGAAAGTTGTAAACCGTACTTCATAAAATTAAAAATTCTGACAATACCGTCTTTATACATTTTAGAAATGTGTAAATTTGTTAAAAAAAATTATCAATATTTTACTGAAGTAAAGGACACGTACACCCGACCATTGAACCTCAGGTATAAAAATAGATTGGCACTACCTAGGTCGAAATTACAAATGTATAATCAAGGACCCTATGTAATGGCCATTAAAGTTTACAACAAAATTCCAAAGGAGATTTCATCACAAACTAAATATAATTTATTCATCAAGCAACTCAAGGCTCATTTAATAGAAAAATGTTACTATAGCTTGAAACAATATTTTGAAGAATGATTGTAAAAATTTAATCCCATTTGCACCTACTGAGAGGAAGAAATTTGTGAAATGTCAGCTATATATTTTCAATTTACTTGCTGTTAATTTGATTTATAATCTAGTCTTTAAAAGTAACTTTAGATAATGTTTTTTTTTTTAATTTAGAAAAGAAAAGATATTGTTTAAGTACATATGGTTAAATTGCGGCGCCCTAACAGGGTCATGTTGATACTACTTTAGCTTTAAGATCATTTGTAACACATGAAAGCAATAAATACTTTGGCTTTGACTTTGACTTTGAATTATATCATAATTTTGTAATAGATTGTTCAATAACAAAAACCATTCTTACCGATGTTTGCATTTCCTTCCGTTGCGCCATAGAATTCAACTACCCTCTTGATGTTGAAACGTTTGACGAAATCTGTCCAAATCTGGAAGTGAATGTCTCGTCAATTCTATTATTGTTTAGGTAAAGTAATGTAGGGTATGGATTTGAGTTCATTCAAAATTAATTACAATACATAAAAAACACACAAGGACTTTTTTAAATATATACTTAATTAAATTAAGTTATGATGCTACCAGTGTGTGTACATGTGCGAGCTTGCGTGCGTTCGTTCGTGCGTGTGTTCTCGTTTAGTCTTAATCATATATTTAATTATCGAACAAAAAGCCTCGAATGTACGTACAATAGGTCTCATTCCGTTGCCGTATACAGTTCGTACTGTATGTTGCTTATCAGTTGGTGACGGTGGGGTCGCCAAGATATATCGACACATCTCTCCAATATAATGGCCGACCTGAATAAAACAAAATAGCATTTTAAATAGAATATAGCATAACAATTAATGAGATAATGTTCTAAAACTAAAAAAAAATATTACTCAGACTGAGTTTAAAACTTACCGTGGCTTTGTACTTGATGCAATCAGGAAAATAAGCAGAAGCAGAAAACTTTGTCCTTATGACGACAGTACAGCCGAAAATGAAGGCTTGTCCAACGGTAACGCAGCCCCCAGCGGAATGGTACAACGGCATGGGGCAGTATATAATGTCACTGGTATTGAGGAAACCGAGATATTGAACTCCGGATGCCATGAAGCACATTCTGTAACAAAACAGAAAGATACGTTAAGTACTAAATGATTGGTATAAGTATAAATTTTGCTCTGACTTGTTTACATAAAAATTTTCAAGACTTGTAGGCAATGTGTGAGTGCGTGCGTGCGTGCGTGCATGCGTGCGTGCGTGCGTATATCGGTACTAGTCTCTTTTGAAGAGTGTCTAGTAACGTATAAATTGGACAAATAGCATCTGGATATCACTTTTTTCTTTACGGTACTGAACAATATATATATTGTAGACGCTTATACAAGATTTACAATCTTTGATACGTATGTACATCGTATTAAAGATTTGCGCGTAAGGAAAAAATACAAGAACAATTACCTAGAAGGAGATATCACAGCAGCTTTCGGCAATCCAGTAGTTCCAGAAGTATAAATGTAGGTCAGCTTGCCATTAAATCCTTCACTATCTGATAGGAACCATTTGCCAGGTGGGGTAGTTTCTAGCATAGAAGCGAAATCATCCGGAGTGTTAACGACTTGCACGTGGTTGGGCAACGTGTTTAGTGGACGGCGAGTATATTTGAATAGTTTAATAGCAGGGTTGAATTCTTTCTTCACTTCTTGTATTGCTGAAATAAATATTTTATTGTCATTTGTATGTTCCTCGGGTATAAGTAAAGTTATGAATCACTTCTAAGAAAGACGTATGTTCTTGGTTAAATCTCGTTAAGTCAAATCCGGATTATTTATCATGTTTAACACCAAAGTTGATATAATTAAGTACTGCTCTTATCACATAACTAGATAAGAAGGCCATGTAAGAAGGAGCTATAATTATTGTTATATTATATAAGTCAAATTACAATTACCCACCATTCTCATATTCGCTTCCGTAAATGAGAGCATCGCACTTGGCAATGTTAATGGAATGTAACAAAGCGTTGCCAGTTTGATTGGTGTTGATCAGCGGCGATATACCACCAATGCGAGCAGTCCCCAACCAAGTAGCAGGCATTTCAGGAATGTTACTCATGAGAACACCAACTGTGTCTCCTCGCTTTATACCTTGAGCTTTGAGCACGGCAGATACGCGTAAACTGAAATCTTCTACCTGAAATTTCAAGAAATAACCGTGAGATCGAAAAAATATTTGCGATATAAAATCATTATGCCACCTATAGTGACATTGTTTAACATTTAGAAGATGCAGTCCATAACATCCTGCAATGCAGGATAGAGATATAAATTCATTACCACAATAATTTTTCAATTCTTCAATTAAAGAAGAAGCCAAGGAAATGATCTAATAAATTGTACTTACTGCTATTTTGATGAGAGGTAACATTCAAAAAATATTAATAAGGAATTAACGTTTTAGTTGGTATAAATACCTATACAGTTGAAATTGGAAAAGATTTTTTTGTATCACAATTAAGTTACCTAGGAAAGCAGTCATTTTTAGAATGTAGGTATTGTAAAAATGCACACGATAAACTTTATTATGCAAAATATAATGACAATGTAGAGCATTTTGTAGTTGCTTTCCATAACTTCAAGAACGCAAGATAAACACATATCCGTTTCCACGCTAATTTTCATATATTTTAATTAAAGAAGTACCAAACAAATGGTGTGACGTAATAAATACATTTACTGATGTATTTATGTAGATGTATATATATAATAGGGGTTAAAGTATGAAATTGCCGATTTGTACT